AAAAATTCAAGTCGCAAAAAAAAATTATATATATATATATACTCCCTCACAAACAGGATAAGAGTAGGTAAATCTAACTCTAGACTTTACAATAGCAAAAGCCACTCTTTGGGCTATTTCTTTTAGTTTATTATTACTTCAAAAGTTTAAATTCTACTTTTGTTAAAAAAAAAATGTTACTTACATATAATTGGAATGTCTAATTTGATAATCTAATGTACTCTTATAGTTGAAGTAGCATAGCGTATCTACATTAAATGCATTTTATTTATTAATCCAAAGATAGTAATGCATTATCTTTTCAGATTTAATACATAAAGTATTGTAGCTGCTAAAATTTTTGACCCCACCATCTCAAGCTTCTGGCATGTTCTTAATTACTTTGTTTATGCCAAATGCTCCTACAATGTTATCTAATACCACATATTTGGTACAAATTGGTATCATATGATAAGTGATATTAAATGAAGCAAGATCGATATCATTGTTCAAAATCCAAACAGTTCAATGGTTACAGGCCAGAGGTTATGGATAGAGGTAGAGTATTCTTATGTTTTTCAAATTGATATTGTGTGTATGTTTCGTCATTTTTCACAAATATAAAGTTGGTATTAGCAAAATAGACATTCATCTTATCTAAGTTTTTAAGCCAACATAACGTAGTTGGGAATTGGAATCCGAAAGAAAAAGTGAACAGCAGAATGATGCGTGAACTAGATCGTTCTCTTAAGATGATTTGCGCTCGTTTATGAAAGAAAGAAACATGGCGCATAAGGTGACAACGCATCGTCTCAGGATACAACAGTCCAACTTATTGACTGTTGCTTTATTCAAATTTGCACAATCAAATGAAGCAGAAATTTCACACAATACCTTTGAATATTACCCAGGAATTTATAAAGTAGAGAGATTGTAATAGATATTCATATTATTTCTTTATACTGAAATATGTAAATATATATACAGAAAATATATGCATTCAATATTCCGTAATTACTTTCATATTTATTTAGATAATAACTAATATTATAACATACTAGATAATACTAGTGTATATATATATTTAAGTATTTTTAAAAATTTGGTCAATGTGAGATTGAATTTCTACATAAAAAATACTTTTTTATTTAAAATACTCTAACTGGATGAAGTGGTAGACCAATGACCACCATCAGCATAGATTGAATTCGAATCAATTATTCAATCCTACCCATTGTTATACTTGAACTAAATATAAATTATTTATAATGAATAATATTATTATTCTCAACCCCAATAAAAAAAAAGTTAGGCGGTCATTATCTTCCCATCTCAGACCCATCCCCAAACCAAGATTGATCATTGTGTGAAAGTGACTAGTCTTTTGCCGACTGTTGTCTTTGAAGAACTCTACAGTGTCGTGTTGTTGTTGAATTCTCTCTAACATCACTTTCTCAATCAAACGAGATAGAAAGAGAGATTTTGTCAAACCTTGAGATTTGGGGTGTGAAAATGTGGATTTTAACACTGAGCTACCTGTCTAATTCGTATTTGTTTAAAATTGTTCTTAATTCTCGTGTGATTATAAAATATGATTTAATTTATGGGAGTAATGCAATCTATTGTTTAATTTTGGTGATATTATAGTGACATTATGTCCTCTCAAGTTAGTAGTTATGGTTCAAACTAAACATACCAGACTTTCATTGTCATATCTAAAAATTATTATTTACTAGTCGTCTCTCCCTTTTCTGGTTGGAAAAAAAAACTGTGAGAATGAAACCTTATTTGTAATTAAAGAAAAGACCAAATGGTCATGCTCAATTGAAAGCTTGCTTTATAAATATATTACCCCTTTATTAATATCTGCGTAAACCATATATTATCATTTAATCATAAGCTATTTTGTCTTTCTAGCAATTGTGGAAAGTATAGTAAGAGCCGTTTTAATTATATCATTTGTTCCATGTGACCTAATAGTATTATATTGTTCCAAATTGCCCGACTAAAATAGTTTTGATACTATTTATCAGTTTTGCATAATGGATAATTAACCAAAATAATATTTGTTAGAATATAGGAATTCAAACAAACATAGGAAAACAATAAATAGCATTACATAAAGATATAATGTGGTTCAACACAACAAATCCTCCCTGTACACCATACTTACATCAACAGACCAAAAACTTACATCGATGTATTATTCACTGAAAAATTGATCATCTGGTAATTGATAAGGACAAAATACTATATCTCAAAAAGATATAACTTAATCTTTATATTTTCTATCACATGTCTAATATACTTATTTAGGACTGTTAAACGAGTTAAACTTGAACATTTTTGTAAGTTTGTTTATGTGTAAATAGTCAAACAAGTAAGCTCGTTTCTGTGTAAATAATCGAAGGTTTAGGTTAGAATTCAGCTCGATTATTACCCCTATACTTATTCATGGTATACTAAAACTCCTCCAATATAATCATATTCTATAAATAATTCTCATATTGATTACCCAATAAACTCTCATTCAGGACAATCAGAGAGTTTGAGTTAAATTCCAACACTTCCCTTATTTTTTTCTCAAATTTTTTCAAAGTAAACGATATTTCAAGCAAAATGTTAACAAAAAAAGAAAAGAGATTTCACACATAAAAAAAAAAAAAATGCATGACAATAGTCGTCTAATGCTATTCGTTTTATGAGCGAAACTATATTCTAACTTAGGTAGCCATAGACCTCTTATGGTTTTTCTAAATCCTCACTATTCAACCGTTGTTTGAACAGTAACTTTTCTCTCCTTTAAACCGAGTTCACTCTTAAATCGACCTCTTCTTCAATCCTTTAAAACTAAAATTACTCATGCTTAAATTATTGGATGCGGGTTATAATTGGGACTGAAATTTGGGTTCAAATTCTAAGTACAATGTCTGGTATACAAATCATGGCAAATTGTTAATTATTTTAATTACAAGGGTTAACAAAGATTAGGTACTGAATAATGCTCAAGTAGTCTGAATAAAGTCTACGGAATGATGTATCCGTTTAGCACTGATGAGTGATTTGTTGCATCGCAGGTTTTTTTTTTTTTTTTTTCCAAAATTTTTGGTCAACATGAAATGGTAAAATAATCAAATATCTAGCCAGAGGCAACCCAACAGTGTCTTCACTCGTCAGCTCACAAAAGTTGGTGAAATATATTGTCATATTATATCGATAATATAAAACAGAGCAGGATCAATAAATTGATCTTACAGTCTCAAATTTATTCATTTAACGGTCAAAAAATTACAATTGCTTTCCTTAATATTCCCCCCCCCAAAAGTCAACGATTATGACTGATTTTGAAACATATCTTACGGTCTCAAATTTATTTATCTAACGGTCAGGAAATTAACATTTTTTTCTTTTAATATTTTTCCTCCTAGAGAGTCAAAGATTACGGCCGACTTGGATCACAAGATTTTCTCTAACATAATAATTAAATGGTTTAAATTTTTCATTAATATCAATTGTGTAGTGTAACATTTTGAATTTGTATAACAGACAATGATAATATTTTGATTAAAAAAAACTCATCAATTTAACAGATTAAAAAAAATAAGGGTGCTGCTTAACACATTTATATTGAATATAATTAATTTTTATTTTTTTTTATATTTGTGATTTAATTTTAGATATGAATATAAATATATTTTTTATTTTTTATTTTTTATTATTTTGTGCCTTCACGTAAAAACAATAGCTAATTAGTCTATATCAAATTAAATGAATTTAAATTTCGAGTGAAATCTGGTCCATCGAGGGACGTAGTTCTATGATCTCTCTCAAAAACCACTTTAAAAATAACAGAAAAGTAAGGGTGATGGTCAACATTAGTGTCCTCATCTTTAAATAATATATATCAATTTTTGGATGTCCCATAGCCCTGTGGGGCCCAGAAATGTAAGTCCGAGTCCCACTCCCACCCACATTCATAACCAAAACAAGATGAGAGTTTTGACTCTTGAACATCTATCTACGTACCTACAATGTAAAACCACCCCCCGGGGGCCACGAAATAAAAAAAAACCTGATTCGGTCAAATTTCTTCTTTTTTAAATCAAAAATCAACAAATTCCACAGATCCAATGGTCAATAAACATGCAGATCGCTCCTACTTTTTGAGTAAAAGAACTATACTCTAATTTTTTCTGGGCCCATATCTTTTATGATCAGTCAATTCCAAGTGTGAAATGCATCTCTCTTTCTTGGATACATGTAGACACTTGGCATTTCATAGCTCACAATTACCATATAAAACCGTCATGTATTACTATCTTTTAGGTAGCATTTATTAATTTTTTGGGTATGCTCATTTATTATATCGACTTATTATATTTTTGGGGGTTAAAACTTAGCATTCGTTAGGGTTTTTTTTTTAATATCATACTAAAAAAGAAAAATCAATACCAGACTTTTAAGAATTTATTTAATGCGTAATTTTTACTATAAAACAAAGAGTAAAATAGTTGGGTATAGTCAAATTTGGTTACCTTGATTAAAATTTCAGTTCATCAAAAAATTATAGTCTACATTAATTTATATTTTACTTTCTTTTTATCGGTCCTTGAATATAAATAATAAATAATAATAATACTTAAATCTAATTTATTGACTTAAATAATTATAATTATTGAATTAACTATGAATGTTAATAATAAATACAAGATCTATTAACAATCGAATAATTATGAATAAATTAAATTCAAATTGTATTGGTCATAAATAAAAGAAAAATGAAAGTAAGAATAATTTATAAAGTTACAAAACCGAACACGCCGTTTCGTCCACCAACGTTTACTATTTCACACGCCAAAATGATTTTAGTATATTACAATGGCAAGTCACAAAAAATCTAAATAAAAAATACTTAACCATGGTTAACTTGTTCCCCACCCCCAAACGCCTTCCTTTATAAGAAGAACCGCCATGCGAAACGCTTACCGATACAGAGAGAGAGGGAGAGGGAGAGAGAGAGAGAAAATAGAAAGACAGAAAAGAGCAACAACAAAGAGAACTTTCAACAAAAAGATTTAACAACTTAGAGAGAGGGTTGCGAATCTTGCGATGGCGTTATACATAGACGAAGAAGAGGTGTGGAAATGTCCAAAACACCCTTCCAAGCGCCGGAGGAGCGGTATTTGCCCAATTTGCCTCCGGGAACGGTTGGGTAGTCTCTGTCCCGACTGTGCTAACGTGCGCCCCTGTGCATGCTGCCCCACATCGTCTTCGTCTTCTTCTTCTTCCTCTTCCTTCTCTCTCTTCTCATCTAGAGGCGGCTCCTCCAATTCCGGAGTTGGCGACGTCGGGAAAGTATCAAAGCTTATCGACAGCGAACCGTCTTTTCGGAGATCAAGATCTTTGGCGATTCCGTTCCTCCGATCAAGATCACGTTTCGCCGGAGATTTTGTATCTGGCGAGGGGAAAAATTCGCCTCCGGGGAGTAGGAACAGAGCGTCGTCGTTTTGGAGTGTGTTCAAAGCGAATAAGAGCAAGAGAAGCGAAGAAGAAGAAGATAAAGAAAATTCAGAAATGAAAAGTAGCGAGGTCGTAATTGACAACGAGTATGAGCGGGCGAGGATGATGATGAGATCGAGATCGGTGGCAGTCCCTGTGACGTCAGGTTTTGGTTCCGGCGACTTCAGATCTTCGTCGCGGACTACAGGAAAGGGATGGCATTTTCCGAGTCCGATGAAGGTTTTCCGTCATTCCAAGGTGTCGAAGGTCGTTCAAGAACGGTCGCCTTTGTACAGAGGTTGAATTTTGTTTATTAATTTCGTATCAATCAATAAAATAGAACTCTTTCTATTAATATAATCTGATTGTAATTATTAACTAATAAGGTTATAGCAAAGTATATAATATTAACATTAATTCCCACTAATAATTATCTTTGTGATTGTGTTTTTTGCAGTTACAAAATATTGTGATTGTAATTGTTAAATAATAAGGTTATGGCTGGGTTGCAAATTCTCATCAACCATGTCGCCACCTTGTTGGATGTGTAATTTGAATTTGGATTTGGATTTGGATTTGAATTTAGATTGGGATTTTAAAATTCAAAATTGGGGCTTAAATTTAAATTTACAATCTTTGTTTTTTTTTTTAAGTTTAACAGTTGTTCGAATTAGTTTAGGTTACACATATCTCGAGTAATTTCCTCTCAATATGGTCAAAGGCAGATTATTTATACTAAGACTAAAAATTATGGTGGATAAATTTTTTATAATCTGACAATTTGTCAAAATTCAAATTCAAGACGACTAAATTTACAAATTGTTGTTTTTTATAATCTTTTGGCATGTTTTGGTGGGGGGGGTTTTACTTTTTTCATCTCAACAACCAAATGGAAAGTAGTTGTAGCTATTAAGTGATGAAGTGATTACTGAAAATGTCTAATAATTGTGGTGGGGTTAGTGGTTATGATTGAATTGTTCATGGGGGTGTTGTTAAATATAATTTGTATTCAATAGGAGGCAAATGAAAACTGGCGTAGGATGGGTAGCTTATTGTAATTATAATGCCTAAGAAAACCATTCTGTTTTGCACATGCATGGATTTTTGTTGATTGTTGCACAAATCCAAGGAACATGGGTGTCAATCATAGGTAATCAGTCTTGTCTAATATTACCAGTTCCAAAAAAAAAAAAAGTGTTGTTTAATATTTATCCCTCATATTTAAGGATAAAACTATGATAATTCAGCTAAACTTTTGACCATTGCTCAAGCTAGGTACATTCCTCAACTGCCACACCATTAGGAATTTGATAGGGTCATGGGCAACTCATTTCTGGCCTGAGACAACAGTCACAATTGACTTGAAGCTCTCTTCAAAAGGGGGGTGAGCCCACCTTAAGCTGACTTAGTGGCAAAAAACGAAAAGGGGTAAGAGAAGTCAGTGGGTGACTGGAGGATGGGACAGAAATTTTTCACTATAACACACTACGTGTTAGTATCATATATTATACATGATTAATAAAATATTATATATTTTCAATGAATGTCTATTATATGTCACTTTCCCATAATATCTTTTAAAAACATAACTTATATATCTATAAGTTAGTGTTGCGACAATTTTTCATTAAGTGTTTTTACGTCACTACACTGATATGTGATTTGTATAATTCAGTGAAATTTTTTTTTCTCCGATTCGAGAACTAATATCGTACCTCATTTTTCCGTCAATAGAGAACGTAACTATGTGTGAAGTTATTAATTTTTATATTTTATTTTATTTTACTATTTAATCGATCAATGACCACAAATAAACCAAGACATGTGTAATCAACAGATAATAAACATTTGTATTATAATTTCATAAAATTATTTTTCAATACTATAATTTTGTCTTTTTCAATTGAAAGCCAAATCCGGTTCAGATATTTTCTCTTACTCTTTCTTTTGATAAAACATTTCCCATTAAAGCTCAGAGGCCAGAGAATAGAGAAGAATAGACACTTGCAAATTGTCTTTTGCCAAAGAAGGGGAGCAAAGGGGACAACGTGGCTATTGGCTAGGGCCAACATTGAAGATCAAATAACTATTATTACGTAACTTTTACGTTAGTTATGACGTAGACAGCTGTATTAGAGCAAGATTTAAAGTAGTCACTGCAATCAATCTAATGATTTAATAAGAATGGAAGAAACAAGCACCAAGAGTTATCTTTTATGAAATTAGACTATGCTACCGACAGATAAAATAATTTTTTGAGTTATTTTACATTCAAAAAATTTATCACTTTTTTGAGTGATTTAAAATTTTTATGGGTATTTTCATCACCGTTTTAAGTATTTTTACTAGGGTTAGACGAGCCAACCCAAATTTAACCCGAACTCAATCCGAAAAAAATAAGGCTTGAGTTAAAATTTTTAATACTTGAGTTGGGTCTGGGTAAATAAATTTCAACCCGAATTAAATTTTGGCAAGCCTCAGGTTGTTGGGTTCAACCCAAATATACATAAATATATAAATATATTTAACTATAATTAGTATTTATCTTCACTTTTTAGAGTTTAGACTTTCACTTTACTTCAAGTATTCACTTCTACGCCTTCATCACCCTCAAATCCCTTTTTCACTTGTCACTCTTCCCTCTTTCAGACTCTTTTTCTCAATCATCACTCGTCTGCGTCGTTTTAGACTCTCAGCCTCCTCCTCTCACTCTCTCTGTCTCTCTTCATCTGCGTCTCACCCTTCATCTCAGATCACTTGAAAAAAATAAATCTACACGTGAAAAAATCAAATCTATATTTCAAAAAATCAACCCAAATTAAATAACTCAACTCCAACTCGATTTTAAACCGAAATCAGTCCGAATTAAGTAACTCGAATTAAACTCGGGTAGTACTCAAGTTGAGTACCTCGGGTTGAGGTAAAATTAGGGTTAAAATTGAAGATTATATATCTAGAGTTGACCTCTTAACCCGTCCAATCTGTCCGCGTTACATCCCTAATTTTTACCATATTTGTATTTTTTTTATCACTATTGTGGTAACTATTTTTACTATTTTTTCGGATAGCATAACAATAGTAAAAATATCAACAAATGTAATAAAAATAACTAGAATTATAATAAATGAATGTATAATACCCAAAAAAAAAAAAAATTTGATACCTTAAGCAACTCCTCTTTATAATATACAATGGATTCTTCCTACCTAGCAGTACTTTATTTTGTGCATGCTCAATGGTAGTTTATTTTTTGGTCCTCTCTCTTGTTTCTTATGGTGTATGTGTGAGAGAGAGGGAGAGAGAATTAACTGGTAAATGTTGGTGACGGGATTTGAATCCTAATCTATACACCTTATTGGCCCTATCTTTGCCGGGAAATTCTCTCCCAATGTGTGAACACACGTGTACGCATGCTCGCGCAGCCTATGTGTTTTGATGTTACCTAAGCCTAAACTGATTGTGAATATGATTGTATGTAATAGTCTATAGCGTGGCACAGAAAATTCTACATAGTTTGTCAAACTTGCACCATTCTTTAATGCCCACTTAAGGTAGCCATTGCTGACCAAATCCGAAAAGAATAAGGCAATAAATATGAAGGATGTTTGCATCGAACTTGATCATATAATCACGTACGCTCAATGTCTGCTTGTGACATCCGCAAGCCGATTTGACCCATTGGATCAACTCAAAAAAATACATCAATAAAGGCTCATGAAACGATACCTATATCTGGGGCGACTCGATATAAAATGGGTCCAGTGAAAATTTAAAGGAGGTTCTATTAACTTTTTAAAATAAAATTTAAATTATTATAAAATATTATTGCCTTTTGAGAAACGAAAAAAATTATTAGATTTTTGTATTCAAGTTTTGTTAACATGTTTCTTCGAAAAATTTTACTAGATTTAATGTTAATATAATCAATGAAAGTAAAAAAAATTATAATTAATTAAACTTAAACTAAATATCATAGACTCAAATGATATTTTATGTTTCCAACATTAACAACATAAATAAATGCTCAGCAAACTCAAATCACATTTAAAAACTCTAAATTTTATTTTTTGTGAGATACTAAAATGAAATTGAACTTAATTAAATATATATAAATATATAATTTATTTAAATATTAGACTTATTAAACCTCTATAAAATGGGAGCCTAGTCATTCGGGGGAGTCCTAATATTGCCATAATAACATATACCATGTAGCAAGTACCTTTCAGAAATGTCCGTATATGGAGAAAACATTAAATATATATAACAGTTACACCCCGTCATCATGGTATAACCCTTACACCCCAATATTTATCCTAGAAGTAAATAGTCTTGAGTGGGGGACATTGCTCTATTTCGATCAAGAAATAGTTCTGATTATGGTATCTAAAATTAATTTTTTTGATACCATTTTTTTAATTTTTATCTAATAAAAATGTGTCTCGTGTAAAAAAAATTTATTTTACTTTATAATTTCTACTATCAATGGTTGCATCTTGCAAATGCATCAAATCAAAATATGTGGTACTATTGTTGTGGGCGTTATCCTTGAAGAAGTATGCCACCATGTCTTACTAGAAAGAACAATGCTATTTTTGGCTAAATAGCTTTGTTATTGAATGTTTGATTAGTCTACTATTTTTTTAAGTTAAGACTTCTATAGTAATTCGTAATTTACTTTATACAATGAGTTTTCTTAAAGTTTACATAGTGACAGCTACTTTACTAGCCAGAATATAAGGTTTGCCAGCCACAAAAAGATGTTACTTAAAAGATTTGATATGTCGAAGTTGCTGTAGCCTATCAACTCATGAGCAGAATTTGTTTTTATAATTGGGGTTATAAAAAAAAAAGTGTGTAAGAATTCATTTATATACATCTAATTTTATATTTAATTCTCTTTGGTGGTGTCACTTGTCTAGTAGGATTCAATGAAATAGTAACATAATATTAAATTATTTTCATCTATTGTGTATGTCGCTCTTTCAGTGACTTGACCACAAAGAGGCACAATTCATGATGCGTTTCATCACTCACATACTCGACTTGATGACCAACTCTCATACTAATTGTTATAAAATCATGTGTAAAACTTGAAACCGACTTATGAGGTAAATATGCTTAAAGTTTGCATTCATACGTCTAATTTCATATTTAATCGACGTGAAACTAACAATCAGTCTCACCGTTTCGAAAATAAATAAAAATGAAGATTGACAACTCAGCACTAATACTCCAAAGCACAAATATGGATTCCATTCCATATCCATTTCTTAGGGCATGTTTGGTTTAAGTATTAATAGATAAGATTGAATTAATTTAATCCACTAATAATGTAATACCAAGTTTAGATTAGATGACTTGGTATTAATTTCTCATTAATCCTAACCTTGTTCATTATTGTCATTTAACACTTAA